CGGGAAAACCGGGAACCAACCGGTCCAGGTCGCTCCGCGCTCCTCCGCGTCTCTGGTGGCTTTCGCGGAGACGCGCGTTGTCGGCGCGGTGGCGAACAATGTAATTCGACGGAGGTCCGAATATTTCTTAAGTTTGCCTGAGTGATCATTAGTGTGGTGAAGCCTCAGTAGATTGTTTTCTTCTATTACGTGTTTGAAAGCCCGTTTACTCCACAGCACACGGTCGCGTGCTTTCGATTTCTTGGATGGGGGGGAATTACGGAAAAACTTTTTAATTTCTTTTCTGTCTCGAATATCATTCAAAGTGACGAATGCTTGGTAACTGATACTGGAGGGAACATCAATGTTGCAGTCAAGTGAATGGGAAGGTTCGATAGCTGCTTTTCTTGAGTTTGGTTGTGTTCGGTTAGCTTCAAGTTGAGCCACCCACGCCGGTCGGTGCGTTGGCTATTTATCTCGGCTGCTTTTCGACGAAAAAGCCTCTGGACCACACTGAAGGAGTTGGACTGATTTCGCAATTACTTGATTCAGGAAAACTTGCTCGCTGCAGATGATGAATGAGGGAAATTATCTGTTTTCAAAAGGTGGGAGACAAGTCTCGCAACGTTAGATGCTGTCACGGCATTTTGACCTATCGCGCCTCCAATATTTATATTACGAGGACGTCGAAGCCAGCAGCAATATACGTTTACATTGGTCGAAGCAAAGTTCAATGCAGAGAGGTTCTGCGTGGATCTTCAATGAAGACTCTCTTCAGTTTGTCTCCGTGCTGCCGGCTATAGAACCATTTGGCTAAGTTTAAGTAGTATGTCTCCGTCTGTCAAATATATTTCTATTCAGCAGCTCACCTAATAGCTAGTCAACTAAGCTCATATTTCAACCCGAAGGATATACTAATATCGCTCTAGTGGGACCATGTACGTAATATAATACATAACCCGCTCGTCAAAATGACTTCCCGATTGCTACTAAAACCTGAATTGAAATACGAGTATCAGCTGTTTAGTGGGGCGCCGGCGGGTTAACATGGTCTTTGGCTCAAGAAGCGGTTGCTTCATTTTCGTAATTATCCTGCAGCCTGTGTTGTTGACCGAGCAGACGACTGGAGCTGTTTCGTAAACGCGGATACGCACAAAAGCTTGATTTCGCGGACAGATAAGTCGCATGGTCGAGGCATGCGAGTTAGCTGAAAAGTTACTCTCTGTGGAACAATTCTATAGTCATCGCCGCTTTCCTTAGATGATCCAAACTGATTAGTATATTACCGTCCATCCGGAGCCCATAGTTTCGGTTTTGAACGAAATCTCCGAAACGAAAGTTTGACACGAAAAGAACAAAAAAACACCAGCAAAACAAAACTATACTTTGCAAGTTTATCTGCACCGGCTACACTTAACCGTCTCAGTTCAAATGCCTATAAAATAGGGCATTAAACAAAAGAAAATCTGTTAAATTGAACGCGCCACCTGTTCAGGCGGCCCGGCCGAGCCGCCGCGACCTGGACTCAGCCGCCATGTTTGTTTGGTGGTGGCGCCCCCTATAGGTCGCTGGAGTCGCGATACGCTAAGCGCCGCGCGTGCTCTGACGTACGGGCACCTTGCTAGCCGGCCAATGAGCGATCGCAATTGGGGCCTTCGAAACCCGCGGAATGCGGACGTTTCCCGATGTTGTCACGATAACGAATGGCATGGGGACGTGGGGAAAATAAGCGGCTTTCCAACAAGACCAAGATGGCCGCGATCCGACGAGCGATCGCGAAACGCGCGGGGCGCGAAGTTCCACTTGTTTTCATTGAACTCGCTGTGTTAGGGCTCTGCGGGGACATCGTAAATATCATTTTTTCAGGCTTAGACATTGAATTCGACATTGAAACTTTGCAGGCAGGTACTTTAGACTACAATTAATCCAAATATGTGAATTTTGAAAAACGTGAAATTTCGCGTTTTTTTACCATTTTAAGACCCGCGTCTCCCCTTAAACACAGTTTTTCAGCATACGGACAGTAGAGGACGTTTGTGCCACATTAAGAATTTCCGTGATGCGCTGCTTCGTCTGGGCATGCTCCCCGCGCTCTCCGCCCTTGGGGTCTACCAGATGAACCATGCGTGGGCGGTGACTTTCAAGACGGCTAACGGCAAGAAAATGGTGGCCACGCCGGAGCTGGGGGACTAAGCTCGACTTCGGCAAGAATCTCACCGATGCGACGTAACGGAAAAGAGTCTTTTGTCTCCGCCCCAGCGAGTTTCCCATTCCTTCTCTTACATTTCCCACCCCCACGGCGGCGGCGAGTTCCCCAGCATAGCTTTGATTTGTCCCTGCACCTTTCCTACGCTCCGCAGTAAAGGGTTTAATTTTATTTAAATCGTAACTGGCAAATACAAGTTGGTAACAGCATGAATGCTCATTATAAAAGCCTGTAGGTAATGCTAAATTGTGTTCCTGGCTGCAGGTTGCCGTAAAAACGCATTTGTTTGAAGGATTCACTGCGAGCATGCTGTTCGTTTGTGACGAGCGAAGGCGGGCGAAAAGAAAATTATGGACGACAGCAAAGAAAGCGCGAAACAGTCTAAAAAGCTGCAGTCTCGAGTTTCTGCCGCACAAAAGGAGCATTTATATTCGTTTATGCGCAACCACCTGCTAATTGCACGCGCGGCAAGTGATTTCACTGGGGGAGTGACGCACGACAGGAAGGAAAAGCTGTGGAAACAGCTGACTGCCGAGTTGAACGCCATCGAACCAGCCACCAAGTCGTGGGCCCCGTGGCGACATTACTGGGCTGACAAAGTATCGTGGGCGAAGAGGAAAGCAATCGTTTTCCGCCAAAGCAATGACTGAGTAGCAGTGATCTTTGACCCTTGACGTGTGGATGTGTAACTTTTACGTACCCATCAATATTCCAAATCACTGGCTTTGCAGAGTTACACTGACATCAAAAGAGAGCTCTGTGACCTCCCAATTTCCCGTCAGGGCAACTTATGTATACCTCCAAATCAAAGAGAACTCGTTTTGTGACGTTTGCATCCAGCGGTACAGGCGGAGGCTCAGTGCCCGGCGAGGCCGACGCGTCGTACGACTGTGGCTCGGCAATGCTGCTGGGGCGGCCAGAAGTAAGAACCTGATAGCAACCATTGCTATCAGTGTTTCAGACCATATATGTCCTGCCTGCGAGAACAAATTTAAACAGGATCCTAAAATGAGACAAATGCACGGCTTGTTACAGTACTGTTACAAAAATAAATGTGACTGCACGGAACCTCCATAGATGGCGCTGGTGGCGCTTGGCGAAGTATACGCCGGAACAGCTAGATGGCACAAGGGACGATTCCTCCTCGCCTTCCCTTTTCTCCCTAACCCCTCAATTCCAAAGGGGCTCGTATTTTGGGGTCGGGGCACCCTTTATAAGGGAGATCCCACCCCACTGGAGGCAGTGAGCGAGCAGACTCCCTGAATGAAAGTCGAGGCACGACCCGCTGGACTATTTGAACGAGAGCCAGTATCGCTACCAGACACCACGTCGTAGTGGCAGCCACCAGGCCTGCCGCCCGTGCACTTTGGTCCCGTGAACCGACGTCTGCTTGTTTCCTGCATCGCTGATCGTGGGTAGCATTTGTCAAGGCAGGATCCGCCAGGCATCGCTCCCCGGTCCGGCCGACCCGGCACCAGTAGCTTTTGTTTTCTATCGTAACAGTACATTCAGACTTGAGGTGCGATAAAACACGCGTCCACAAGATAACAGCATAGAAGAGCAATATGTGGGCATGTTACTTCAATACTCCTTGGAGGAAAAAGATGCCTCCATTCAAGTGTTTCCTTCTGCGCATGCACTATATCCCTGCGGCACATTAACAGTGCTGCCTGAAAATACTGATGAAATGTGCAATATAACTGCAACAGATTCCTGAAAACCAAGTGTCTAGGCACATGTTCAGCTAAACAAAAAATATTTACAAGGGAATGTTTCGAATCGTTGCACACGCGTCAGGCTTGACTGCCGTGCATGGGTGTGCTCGGAGAAGCAGCTGACACAGCAGGTTCACTTCAAGTGGTCGCTTTAAGTGACCTACTGAATAATTTCCACACGTTTTAAAAGTAGCGTCTGTACATGTGCTGTTAAACGTGCACATGCTGGGCATTTTATGGTATTTATTAGGGGTTTCCCAGACTTTTTAAGATAGCACATGGAGCTTGACAGAGTTCTTGCTTGTTGATGTACCACTTCTGTCTCGTTTAACCTCCTACTTTGCTTACAATTGCTTTCACCCTTAGTTCCCAGCCAGCCAGCCGCCCTTGCGCAGTTGCCCTGTGCAAGCACCATGGCATCGAAAACGCAAGGCATCCCACGATGCTGCCGAAGAATACTTGCAAGACCAGTGACGCCTGGTGGACCTCGCAGAGGCGAGGGCCGCCGGCTTGGAGCAGGTATGGCACCCACTTCCTTAAGTGGCATGTGCCTCGGCGGTGGATATCATCTGACATGTCTTCGTACACGTGAACGCATCCATATTTGTTAGTGCATGCTTTCGCTGTCTCTATCCTTTGAACAGCACGGTTATGGTACAGAATTGATGGTCTAATTATAAGAAAAAAAAACTGACGATTTGGTGTTCCTCGTATAGGTGTGACCAGAGAAGATAACAGATTGACTCAAGATAGATGTTATATACAGCAAAACCTGGCCCGAAATTTCCCTTCCCATTTCTGCATTTTTAATGCAATTTGGGTCCCGTTATAACAAAGTAAATAAAAAAAGCCTGAGCGGATATAACGAAGACAAATTTCGTGCCGACCCGACAAAAAATCAAGCAATCACAATTATTTATGACCTTTCTGAAAACTTTTAAGCAAAACACTGCTCGAAATTCGGCTGCCGGCAGCCTCTGCAGCGTGGCCTGCTCTCCCTATCGCGTAGCTCCTATGAGATTGCTTCACCGCACCGCCTCATGTGGTGCCATGTCTTTGAGGCTCCTCAAAACAAACTGGAGAAAAAATAACCAAGTTAATTCACTGACAGCAGCATTCTTAGCGGCCAATCATCATTGTTTCTCTTTTGCTGTCATGTGACGGGTACAACTAACTGCTGGACGCGCCAGAATAACTGAGTCGGCAGGGGTAGCTAACGCAAGGTAGCGTCGTCCTGTTCGCATACTCGCGAGTCGCGAGTACCACACTTGTAAGACTTGAGTGGGGTGTATGCGTTGTGCAATGCCAACTCCAGAGTCATATCGTTTGGAGTTTCGAACACACCGTGGCACGGGTCACGCAGGGCGCCCGTTGTTATCGTCCTTCGTCCACTGCTTTTCGTATCGTACTGACCCCATCCTGCTTTGCTCCTTCTGCCATCCTGACTTCCCCTATGGACAACGGACTTGCACAATTAGAATTCCACGGAATAGACTCGGACTGTTGCCTGATTCTTCTGCACCGCCGGTTTGTCGACCATGTCGAGTTCCGTGAGCTCCGGGACGTCGGTGGGAAAAAGGGAGGTGCTGTCCCTGAAACTGAAGCGTGCCATTTTGGACGAGGTCCGCAGGAACATCAAAAAGAGCTATATTGTGCAGTCTAGTTTGTCTGTGGTTATTAAGAACGCCAGCAAGATCAAGGCCGTTCTGGATATCGACGTTGGCAGCAGTGACCGAAAACGAATTCAAGGTGCCACCTACCCAGGAGTGGAAGATAAGTAGAACATTGTCGGGGAGGCCACGTCCATTGACGACCAGTCACTCCAGAAGTGGATGGAAAAGAACATGGACCGCATCCTTGGAACGTATGCCGACAAGGATATCTACAACGCAGATGAAACCAGATTTCAGCTGCTGCTAGCGAAAACATTAGCGGTCAAGACTGACAAATGTGTGGGAGGCAAAAATAGCAAGAACCGCATTACGGTGCTCATCTGTCGAACATTGACGTCTCAGACAAGCGCGATCTGCTGATCATCCAAAAGGCGAAGAAGCCACGAGGCTTTGCTAAGGTGCTGCCCATGCCAGTAGCATATAGCCACAACAGGAAGGCCTGGATGACGAAAGAAATCTTCACAAAGGGGCTCACAGACTTTGACAAGGTGATGGACAAAAAGATGCACAATGGGCTGCTTTTGTTAGACAATTGCAGCGCTCATCACGTCACTGCTCATTCAAGTGCTGTCGAGGTGTTGTTCCTGCCCCTAAACATGACCGCGAAGCTATAGCCGATGGACCAATTGATTGCAAGCTTCGTAGTGCACTTCGGAGGTTCTGATCCAAGCTTTGACTTGCAGTTCGACAACTTGGAGGCCACGATCATTCAATGCGGACTCGTAAAGCATGTGCAGGGAACCTTGGACGGCTTCCAGCAGAAGGAATAAACATGTTCCCCTAGGTGAATAATTTTGCTATTTTTGCTTTAGTTTGAATATAAATAAATAGCGTACATAGCAAACAATTTCCAACCCCGCAGGGGGCACCTATGAAAGCAGGTGTTTGGAGAGTGGCGTCTCCACGGACCCCGAGCCATGCGGGTTCGCCCGCCCACGTCTGGCTGTGCGTGGCTTTCCCGTGTCCGGGGAAAAGGGCATCCTGGTGGTTGAGCCGAGCCCGGGGTAGGTTTGGACCCTTCGGGGCCTCCCGGGCGAGGCAATACACTTCGGCCCCCGCTTCCCGTAGACGGGAGTCCTGGCTTGGCCCGACCAGGATGATTCAGCCTAGTCGCCACTTCTACTATCCCCTCCCTTCTTTCGCCCTTGTCTTCTCATACTTTTCACTCTTCTCATTTCTCTTCTTTCCTTTTTCAACTCCTTTGGCGGCAAGGGCTAACCTTGGGTGGCGACAGACCCCTTGTCCAAAACCACACTTGGTTATAGTACCTGGGCAGTGCTAATAGTCTAACGGTTCCAGCAAAGCCCTTTTTGTTATGGTCCGTTAACTATTCCCTTGTTGGGCTCCGTGGTGGGTGGCACACCACAGGTTCTGAACACTCTCCGCCTCTTATGGCTGCCCCTCCTCCTAAACCCAGCTCACGACAGCCCTGGAAAAGGCGCTGCCTTGAGCACAAATCCATCGCAAAAGACCCTCCTGTGGAAAACTTTACCAAGTTCTTTGTTGTTCATTCTTTAGATGAACAAAAACCCGTTGCAAAGATATCTCCTTTTATTGTGTCGAAGGTTCTGGAACACCTTATCGGGTTCTCGTATAAAGCCAAGAAACTGCACTCTGGAGACCTCCTTGTTGAGGTGGATACAAAACTTCATAGCGAAGCTTTATGTAAGCTAACAAACATTGTAGATGTGAAAGTGTCGGCGAGTCCTCACCGCACACTCAACACCATCCGTGGAGTTCTTTCCGAGGACGACCTTCTGGAAACAAGTGAAGAAGAACTCCTTGAAGGACTTAAAGGCGCCGGTGTTGTCGCCGCAAAACGCATAATGTTCCGAAAAGATGGCAGAGAAACCCCATCAAGACACGTCATCCTGACCTTTGAGAAACATGCTCTTCCCGCAACAATCAAAGCAGGCTACCTGAACTGCCGCATTCGTCCCTACATCCCCAACCCGCAACGATGTTTCCGCTGCCAACGATTTGGCCACAGTTCACGGAATTGCAGAGGAAAGAGACTTGTGCGAAGTGCGGAGGGCAGGACCACGTCGCTGACATCTGCGACGCAGTGGCCCGCTGCAGTAACTGCAGTGGACCACACCCAGCCTACTCCCGCACCTGTCTCTGTGGAAACAAGAAAAAGAAATTCTTTCACTAAAAGCCAAGGAAAATATCCCATATCCAGAGGCTAAGAAAAGGTTGTCGTTTCTCTCAAAGGGAGGCTATGCCGAGGTGGTGCGCAGGGGCCCTGCACCACGCTCGGAGTCGAGGGCCACCCAGGTCTCGCCAGAGATGCTGGCAGTGGCCCTCAAGGCCCCAACTCCTGAATGCAGGCAGCTGCCCCCTCAGACACCTCGAGGGAGCACGCAAGCTGCCCTCTCACAGAGTGGGACGGCGGCAGCCGTGCCCACTGTCCCTCCTGGACCCTCCCTGAGGGAGAAGGAGCGAAGCCCTCGCTCCAACTCGCTTGGGAGGGGCTTTTCTTCTAGGGAGCGGCGCGACTCTCGCACCGCCCCTGGCTCTAATGGAGTGGAACCGATGGAGCAGGACAATTTGCCCAGCTCCTCCTCCACTCCTCCCTGTGGATCGGGCCGAGGGCGGCAACCGCCCTCTCGAACACCCGATCAACCGAAGCCTGCAGGCAAACCAGCCTGCGAAACTAGGGAGATGGAAGTAGCAGCTGAGGCTGCTGATCCATCCACAAACCTGTCTGACTTCGAAGACACGGATTGGCAGACCCCAAAACCCAAGAACAAAGCAAAAACGCCTGTTAAGCCTCCGAAATGAACCCTCTACCCAAGGCATTTAATTTCACCCCATGCATTTTTCTTCATGTATATAGCCCATATATTTTAATTCTGGAGCTCTCCAATTTCACATTGTCTACTTTTTTATGTGTATTGCATTGTGATAAATATTTTGAGATCAGAATAAACTTTTTTTTAATATTAATTTATTCAGTTTTAGCGATTTTAAAATTTGGTCCACATTCCTAACGCCCCTTTTAGCTTAACACATTTTTATGGCAGGAGGCTTTTTACAGTGGAATTGCAGAGGACTTTTTCACAACCTGGATGATGTTTACTCCTTGCTTCAGGAGTACACACCCTCTGCAGTATGTCTCCAGGAGACATATTTGGGACCGTCAAATAGTAATTTCCTGCGATCATTTCAAGTCTTTCGCAAAGATCGCATAACAACGTCTGGCAGTTCCGGAGGAGTTGCCATTGTTGTGGACGGAACGGTACCAGCTGTTGAAATTTCTTTGAACACTTCTCTGGAGGCGGTCGCAGTACGGTTGATGTTAGATCGCCTTATTAGCATATGCTCCCTCTACATACCCCCTTCAACTTCCCTGACGCTGACCGATCTTGAACGCCTTGCAGACCAGCTTCCAGAACCCTATGTTCTCCTAGGAGATTTTAATGCCCACAATCCGCTCTGGGGAAGTCAACGGGTCGACAGCCGAGGATCTGTTATAGAAAGGTTTCTCTCCCGAAGAGCTGCCAGTCTCCTAAATACTGGTGAGGCCACATATTTCAGCTCAACTCACCACTCCTTTTCCTGCATTGACCTATCCATTGTTTCTTCATCCATGTTTACAAATTTTACCTGGACTGTCCTGAATAACCCACGCGGCAGTGACCACTTCCCTATCCGTCTCATCCCCACAGAGCCCCCACCTATTCTCCCCTGTTGCCCTCCTCGATGGAAATTTTCTATAGCAAACTGGGAACTTTTCCAGGAATGTGTAACGTCTTCTGTCCTGCCTGTAGCACACTCTATTGAAGAAGAAAATGAAATCATCACAACTGCCATTGTTGATGCAGCTCTTGCTGCTATTCCACAAACCTCGGGTAAGCTACCCAAGCGCCCAAAGCCTTGGTGGGATAGGGAGTGCCGAAAGTCCAGAAATCGCCAGAATTGCGCTTGGGCAAAGTTTCGGCGGTATCCCACCCCCACGAACCTTCTCGCATTCAAGCGCCTGCGAGCAGAAGCCCGACGCGTCAGGAGACAAGCGAAACGCCGTTCCTTTCACTCGTATACTTCCTCCATTAATAGTTTTGCTCCAGCCAAAATTGTATGGGACAGGGTAAGGCGAATGGATGGTGATTACGCCCACTTTTCAATTTCCCTGCTATCAGCCGACGATGGAGAGGCGTTTTCATCTTTGCAGGAACAGGCTGATGCACTGGGTAGACATTTTGCGCAGGTCTCCAGCTCTAAGAATTATACGGAAAAGTTTTTACGCTTTAAAACCAAATCTGAGAAGGTCCCAATCCGCCGATCTGATAGCTGTGCCGAAGAATATGACCGGCCTTTTACTCTTACTGAGCTGCGTCGAGTCATTGCCACAGCAAAAGCAACATCTCCCGGGGTTGATGACATTCATTACACTATGATTTCCCATCTGCCTGAAGCATTCCTCGTCATTCTCCTCCAGTTTTTCAATAGAGTGTGGGCAGAGGGGAAGCTGCTGAGCGTGTGGAAAAAGGCTATTGTCATCCCTATCTTCAAACCGGGAAAAGACAGAACTAAAGCCTCCAGCTATAGGCCTATAGCCCTGACTAGCTGCCTGGGAAAGACGTTCGAGCGGCTGGTTAACAATAGGCTTATCTTCATTCTCGAACGGAACTCGCTTTTAAGCAATTTACAGTGTGGCTTTCGTGCCGCCAGGTCCACTGCCGACCACCTCGTACGATTGGAAACGGCCATCCGAGAGGCCTTTATAAACAAGCAGTTCTGCCTTTCAGTATTTTTTGACCTTGAAAAGGCTTACGATACCACTTGGCGGTACGGTATCCTTCAAGACCTTATCAAGATGAATATTGGCGGAAATATGTTTAATTGCATTGCAGACTTTTTGCAGGATCGCACCTTTCAGGTGCGATTGGGAACAACCCTTTTGTCATGTTTCATCCAGGAGAATGGAGTCCCACAAGGATGTGTCCTGAGCGTTACCCTCTTTCTTATTAAAATCAACTCTCTGTCCCGAGCAATACCACCTTCGGTCTCCTACTCGCTTTATGTTGATGACGTCCAGGTCTGCTTTTCGTCATGTAATTTAGCTATCTGTGAGCGCCAAATCCAAGTAACCATTAATAAAATGAGTAAATGGGCTGATGAGAACGGTTTCAAGTTTTCTGCTGAGAAGACCGAGGCTGTTTGCTTCTCTCGGAGAAGGGGAATGTTTCCCGAACCATCACTTCACATAAATGGCACACCCCTTCCTGTCCGACCGGAACACAGGTTCCTCGGTGTGACGTTTGACAGCAAGCTTACTTTCGGCCCCC